TTGTGGTCAGGGTTAGGCTGTAGAAATGTAATGAAAGTCAATGGAATGTCCCCAAATGTATAGCTGTGCAAACGTGTGTGTGTGTACTTGTTTTTGCTACAGAGTGAGAACCATGTTAGGTTTTTAATCAACAAAGTGAGGTCTTTGATGTAAAGTGAGGACCTCTTCAATGTCCTCACTTTATTTGCAGCACTACTAGTTAAGCTTTGGTTCAGGTTAGAGTTAAGAAAAGACTAGTAATGGTTAGAGTTAGGGAAAATGTCTGGGTTAGGCATAAATATAGTTACAAAAATTAATGGAAGTCAATACAATGTCCTCAGTTTGATGCAAATACAATAAGGAAGTAAATAAGCAAGTAAAAATGTTTAGCACATTTCAGCAGCAAGGCAATTCAAAGTGCTTTACATGATAAAAACATCAAACAAATGTGCAGTTAAAATCATTAAAAATATCCATTAAGTACACAGCAAATCATGGAACATCAGAATCATCACTCAAAATCATGAAAACCATCAAGCAGATAGGGAGATGGTCAATATGTGATAAAAAATTTGTTCAGAGCAGCTTTTCACCTGCGTGTGTTTGCAGCCTGCTAATTAAAGGAAGCTCTGAACAGGTGGGTTTTCAGTCTTCATTTAAAGGATTTTAGTGTTTTGGCTGTTTTGCAGTTTTCTGGGAGCTTGTTCCAGATTAAGTGTGCATAAAAACTGAAAGCTGCCTCTCCGTGTTTGGTTCCAGTTCTGAGGATAAACGGTAGACTGGAACCAGAAGACCAGAAGTTCTGGAAGTTTGATATGATGATAGTTTAATGTGTTGGGGTGCTAAGCCAATTATCGATTTATAAACTAATAGAAGTATTTTAAAGTCTACTCTCTGAGCTACAGGGAGCCAGTGTAAGGACTTTAAAATGATGAGTGATGTGTAATCAATGTGACTAAAAATAAAAGCATGGATGAGTTTGACATTAATTCTTTAATTCTGGAAATGTTCTTCAGGTGGTAGAGTGGTGACTTTGTAACTGTTTTTAAACGTCTCTGAAGGTTCAGGTCTGAGTCCATCACTACACACAGACTTCAGGCCTGCTCACAGGTTTCTAAATGTAAGGACGTGTGTGTATGACTGAGAGGCAGAGAATGTTCCAGTAGATGACACGGATGTAGCTGAGTTAACCAGACGTTAAGAAAAGCTCTCATGGAGCCACCAGAGCCTTCTGTCAGATAATAAGAGCTCCTTTTGTTCAACCTGGAATCAGCTCTCTGGAGCCAAAGCTGCTGCAGGTGAAGCTTCTCAACAACCTCAAAACAAACACAACTGAAGACTTAACATTCCTTGAAGGAAGCATGTCGCTCGCCACCTTCCATCCCACAGTTTTACACTTCAACATGACAGAGTTGGAGCTATTTTAGTCGAGCCTCGTGTGATGTTAAATACAACGGAGTTATTTTATGCTGTTAATTGATCAGTTGTGGCGGCCATCTTGAACTGGACTGACTCCAAACATTATTACTTCTAAATGTACTTTCTGAGAGTTTTTCTGAGAGTTCAGTGATTCGTTAGATATTATATATATATAAAACTTACCCCCCCGTGAAAAGATAACTCCGCCCCAAGGCGAAAT